TCGTAAGGCTTCCTGCTGTCCTCTTGTTAGTTGGTCGCTCCGATAATCTGCACGCTCGAATGTTCCGCCTGTTATGCGAGCGTAGCTGCGCACCGGCACGTGCCGTAGTTATAAATTAAATTCATCGATAAATTGTTCAGATAAGAAGAGTCACGGGAAAGAATACAATATAGCGTCTGTTTTACTATAGTTTTTATATGTGAAAGTCATGTACTGGTTTTTAAGATATCGTAAGATAAAATAAAATCGCGTTAAAAGAAACTTTAAATTAAAAAGAGTGAAAAAAAGATATCTAAAATATTTCATATTAGACAAACTGTTTTAAACGAGTTTAAGAAATTAATTAATAAATGAATATTTGTGTGTGTGTGTGTGTGTATGTGAGGAATAAAAAGTAGGTTTATAATTTAAATTACAATTTATTCTTTCGAACTGAGATTATAATAAAATCTACTAAATCATATGAATATTTATCTATATACAAATTCATTTATTTATTAAATTTTCTTAGATAATTAAAATTATGGAGTTATAGTAGAGTCAATTATACAAAACTCTTGTGTTATAAAAGCTTATTTAAGTTATTTAAGTTATTTTAATACTAAAACTTTTCAACTTCACAATTAATATTTAAATTTTTTTATGTATGTTAATCTAACATAATGTAATATCGCATAAATTAGAAATCGTAACAATAGAAAGTTAAAGAAATTATAATGCAGATGCTACACCTAATGTTGTTGAAATTATTTCAACATCAAAATTTCTATTAATTTCGTATATAAATGTTATTTGTACATTTTTTCAGAACGGATTTTGATGAATTTTTGGGATTAGATAAATGAGTATACATATGTATAGTAATTATTTATCACTTTATAACAAAAGAAATTTTTTCTTTTGTTTATACATTATTTAAAACTAAACAAAATTTATTTACAATAGATTAAATCAGTCAAATCTGATTGAATAAGTAATAAATATGGGATTATGATTTTTGATTAATAGGAGTTGTTCAGTAATATTTAGATATTTATCAGTAATTATGAAACCATATATAAATTTTACATTGCTATATTATTCGACAATGTTACACGCTCGAGATCAATGCGCTTCTACTCTCGAATCGCGAGCAAGAAGACGATACGGTGTTGTTCCAGAGCAGTGATTCCGGTCAGCCGGAATAGCGGTACACGCTTGGCTGTACGTCTTCGTTCTCGAATTATTATGTTGCTGCTTTCTGCGAGGTGCACAGTAGCATGCTTTGTCGCGAAAGCGGAAGAAACTTACACGCATCGTAAACGAAGCCATTTTTTACTCCTGTTTCGCCTTTCTTCTTTGTCATACATCTGCATCAGATATAACTAAATCGCGTTCTATATTTTACAGACCATAAATTATGGAAATAAATTTTATTTGTAAAGTCCTATTTTGCGAATTGAATTACATAACGTTTTTTCAGTATATCGCAGAAACGATAACGAGCTTAATCAAACGTTTCCTTTTTAAACTTTACAAAAGTATTTTTGAAAACAACGTTTTATTTTTTTCGTAACAGTTAATAAAAGTAATTATTAAGTAATAAAATTTATTCTTTTTCATATCAAACAAAAATTGTTTGCATATTACTATCGATAATTTTGTTCAAAGAATGGCCAAATGAACGGCAGTTTGTAGCTCGCAGCTCGTTGAGGGAGACCCGCGGGAGAATCGTGCGCGTTTATGAACGCGATTCCCTCGAAGCGCGCGAGCAGTGCAGCGCGGTGCAGCGACGCGATACAGTGTACCGCCGCAGCTGCGTCGGATAGTTGGTCGAGGCATGTGCGCCGAGTAACGGCTAATTGGCCACCTTTTCTCTCCGGGAGAGGAACCGTCTCTCTCTGTTTCGCTGTCGTGGTCGACGTGCCAGTTTTGTTCGTTCTGTCGTACGGCTTATACCAAGTGTAGTTGGAACCCCGACGCCGCGGGAAAATACTATGGTGTCTCACCGGATGAGATTTTATTAAAAGCAACGTTTCTGTGAGTTGAGCTATTTACATCGTAAATCGAGTTATTACTACATCGTTATCATAGTCTTTTTTTTCCTCTTCTTCTTTAGAAAATTGAAGTAAGATAATTCTGTAATATTTTTCTCAATTTACATAATAACGATAAAGTAGATAGTCACGTAAAACAGTAAACGTTGTATTTATTATAGTTTTTAAAGAAACGTTATGTATTATTTTACTTCTGGACGGAAGAGGACTAATAAAGGATTTATAAGGAGTAATTTGTATAATCGTGAACATAAGTTTTTTGAGAAATCTTTCTATAGCAGTCAGTCATGAATTTGTGCGCGGATTCTCAGCCGCGAAAAGTGCCTCGCTCCGAATTGACCGCGCGAGTGATCGCCGTGAAAGTGCATCGAACAAGAAGTCTAATTGTGCGCGCCGGGCCTTTATTAACGTAATTCACCGACCTGTTTATTCATCGGAAGTCATGGACTTTCTTCGTAGCAAAAAACTTAACCATGGTCCATGAATTCGAACATTGTGTTTTGTAAATATGTAGATTTCGGATATAAGTTTGTTTGAAATAGTTTTCTATCATTAATAACGATATTTTAAATTCTTTAGTTAGAAAGATAGAGCAGTTTTATATAAAGAAATGGTTGCTTGAATTTGTCTTTCAAAGAAATTTTCTTTAGTTTCTGGGAAATCAATGTGTTATGGTCTTACTTCTTTATTTCAATTGAAACTAAACTAAAATTCATTAAAAGATTTACTAATTTATTAAAGATATATCTTTTTTTATAAAGAAGCGATAATATATGAACAGCAGATTAATAGTTATATCTGTCAGTAGTATCAAACATAGCAGAAAAATTATTACTCATTTTCATTTGAAGATACATTTTCAAGTTTCATCGCGATGATCTGTAATAATAAAGTGCATACATAGTCTTTTTAGCGGCATAATTATATTGTCGACTACACTTTCGCCTCTCGCATAGCATTTTTCAACTTCTCTATTGAATTTCGCGAATTCTCATTAAAGTCCATTTCTACCAATGTGGATTAACTTTAATCTTGGTTTAATTTACTTCTTTTTCTAATCCTTGGAACTAGAAAAAGATGAAAAGTAAATTGAACCAAGATTAAAATTAAACTGCATTGGTAAAAACGGGCATAAATTATACAAATAACTCTTTTTAGTATTTTCTTTCTTCATTAATTTTGAATAATGTTGCCTGAAAGCGAAATTCGCCCAACAGAAAATAATGTTGCAGAGGAACACGAGTTTAATTGAAATAACATTTTAAGCGTTACTACTTAATTTTTTCTTAATTTTGAAATATATATATTTTTAAAGGTGAAAAGGATAGAAGAATAATGAAAATATATCAAAATAATACGTATATATTTTTAAGAACATTTATACATTTAGATATTCGAAAAAGAAGAAAATGAAACACATACACACACACACACATACACACACACACACATAGCGTCATTATTAAAATAACCATTCTATTATCTCTCATAAGAAAAATTCATTCGCGATGTTACGAGAGGTTAAGATGGGTTAACAAGGGGATGCTTTAGATGTAATAAGGAAGATCTTCCTTAGGCGTTGTACTTACTCTTGGCGTGCATACTGCAGTTTAATCGTCCGATTAATTTGGAATTTTGCATGCAAATGACGATTTACATCGAAAGAGAATTTTGTTCTAGTTATTCCGTTCTAGTTACAACCAGTATTAATTTCGATCAAACGATATCTTGCAAAATCCTTCAACATTTTAAATGTGACAATAGCATTGCGTTACACTGTATTAACTGTGGAATAGAGAGAATTGTTCGCAAGATATTTTGAAAAATATTAGGTTTTTCAAAAATGTTTTCTCGTAATTTTTGTAAAATATCAAGCAAAATTTTTATTAAATATTATTTTTTGTAATTATTAAATTTTCAACACTACATTTAATAAGGAGTTTTGAAGTTTTAATCTAATAATAAGTTAAAATGGATTATCAAATTGGAATAAATTTTATTCAATTCACTAAAATTACTTTAATTTTTAATAATTCTAAATTATAGCTTTAAATTAAATTACATCTGATTAAAATGATTTTGCGTAGAAAAATTTTCGTAGAAAACAACGGATCTTATGTTATATAATATTTTTATGTAAAATAGAAACTATAAATATCATCACTTGAAACAGTAATAATGTTACTGTGGTTTTTGTATATATGATTTAAATTCTTCGATTTAAATTATTTTCCTATTATCGCTTCCGGCTAGAAAATGTCATTTGTTTGTGATATGCATCAATGAGAGCGGAGAAAACAAGATACTGATTTATATGCATAAGAAAGTTTAGAAGTGTTCGAAGAGAAGACTATTAATAATTAAAGTTACCAGCAATTGACGTTAATTGCATGTATCGCTAAGAACAGGTTTGCAACATGTGATCGTTGATCATGAAGAGGAAACGGGATAGTGACGATTTATCGGTTCTTATTTGCTTAGCAAGTTATTTAATGCATGCTGTTTTGCAGCTAATGCTGCATATCATGCATTTCGAAAAAGTATACGATATGCAACCATATACTGAAATAAACAAAGTATTATAACATTTATATCAAATAACAGTGTGACGAAGAAACAAAATTAACAAAATAAATATATTTATGGATCTTATATAAATGTGCATATATGTTTTAATTTATTTAAATATCATAATTTCATAATATTTTGTATGTACATCGTAATCCGTTGCTTATATGTACACAATAAGTTTATGATTTTCATATTCATATAATTAATAATATTGCATATTTCTGATATTATACTGATATCAAAAATATGGAAGAAGAATTAATTATATATTAGAATAAATTAATTATATATAATAATTATAACAAAATGGATGCAATAATTGAAACATGTAGTAACAAATATCTAATATTTTATATATTACATTATTAATTATTATAATTGTTTATGTTACAGGTCTCCGCGAATCGGAGGTCCTCTTTCGCAATCGCTGGCTATGATCCCTCCAACCATGCATGGGCATGAGTTCAATCAACCCTTGTCGAGGGTGGTCATGGTCCGTAAAACGGATCAAAGGACATTCAGTAAAGGAAGACGAGGTGGTGAACCGCTTCTGGAAACTGTTACCAGGGAAACTGTCGAACTCTTTAATGGCGGTCGAGCCGAAAGGAAGTATACCTCCGAAACAAGGGATATCGTTACACCAAAGTCTAGCAGGTTTGACAATTTTTTAATTATTAGCGTTAAATACTAGTAACAGATGTATTAAAGTAATACATTTCTTCGATTGAATTAATTATTTATGAATATTATATTAACAGATAATATAAATTAATCAGATGCCTTTCAGATAAAATCAGATCGGATAATAATGTATTGTTTGATGCTTTATTCGAGAGATTTTAAAATATTATTGTATATTTAAAATTTAATCTTTAATATTCTTGAAATATTATTCTTATATAAAATACATTCTTGATTTTTAAAGAATATTATTTATTCTTATACATTTGTATATTGTTTAACATTTTTACTTGCTGTTAAATGTTAATGAAAGTTTACAAAGATTTGATAACATACATAGTTGAAACAAAAATAAGGTTTTGATATTATGTTTCTAGATTGTTACTATACAGTTTAGCGATGTAATAAATGACAATCGAAATACGTAATATGTAAAGTTAAAATATATTTTATGATAATCGAAATTTGAAATTAAGTAGGTCAGCAAATAGCGATTTAGATGATGCTAAATAATTAATAATAATTATATCGTTTTTATTGTTATACGATTCCTTTTTTTGTCACATTCCGATTTTATTAGAAAAAGAAACTGACAATTTTGAAAATCATTGAAGTAGATGCATGTTGTAGTGTTTATAATAATTTGATACTATAGTTTACTATTATCTATGTGTTAGCAAAATGTTTCTTTGTTGTACGTGATTGGAAGAGTATTTCCTTCTTACACGAACGTGTACCGAAACCTTTTGTTACACCTTGGTTCGCAGTAGACAAAACTTTACCTGTCATAAAATCAGCTGTCTCGCGTTTCAGTACCTTTCTCTTAGTTGATATATACATGTACAGGGTGTTTCAAGTTTGCTGTCTTTACTTACTTTATCTCTAGAAATTTTATTGCCGCCAATAGGTAAAAATTCTACTATTAAAACTTAAATGTACGATGAATGGTAGCTTCTTTCGAATTTTAAAATGAAAATTCAAAACTAATATAGGACAGTAAACTCGCGTGTAACTATACCTTTGTATTTTATGGAAAGATATTTTCTGAGAGAAACCGCAGACCGCAAGTTTTCAATTATCTTATATGTTAAAAGCGGAAGAGCATACTTGTTCTTTCGTTTCGGTTAATTTTAAAGCATACGCGTGAAGAATCTATAAAATGTCGTACGCTATTTAGCAGGTTTTCTACATTCTTGCAGAGCAATTCATTTCTCTCAGCACTCTCTCGCGAATAATGTTGGGAATCGAAGCGACTGTGGTTTTCAATAGAATGTGGAATATTACGTAATGTGATACATCATCCTCCTTTCTCTGGAAAAATCTATGCTTTTAAGAATAAAATTTTTATGCATAAAATGTTATAGAAGATTTTCTACTATTACTATTGTTTAATTGATTCTTTAATCAATTTGGCACCAATATTTTCTTTAATAAGAATTGAATTAAAAACATTCTTATTGTCTTAATTTTTTAACATTATGTTATTTTTGTATATAATTATTTATTAACATTAATTATATCTTAAAATAGATTTAATAAAATAACTATAAATCTAAAAATAGATTTAATAAAATAACTATATGAAGTTAAATGAGAGAAAAAGATTTCTATTGGTTGCTTCTATTGGTTGAATTTATTAAATTTCTTTAATTTAAAAATGCCTACATTTTTTATAATGCTTCCAACGTTGCTGAGATTTATGATTCAATAAGAATAGTTAGAATAAGACTATTCAATTTTCTAAGAAAAGTCAGCAATATAATATATAATATTTGTTAGATAAAGTTTATCTAACATTATGTTTATAGTCCTTATACTTTGTAACTTTTGTCATCGCCCTTTATAATTGTTGAGTATTGAAGAGTTTATAAAATTCTATATCATCAATTTTTGATCTTATTTCTAACATTACTCATAAGAAGTGAATACAATGTAATATTTCTCTAGTGTAAGTCGTTGCTCTTGTAGTATGCCATCGCTCAACGTGCACGGAACGAAAAAGAAGGTGGTCGGTTTTGTCGATCAAGTGTCGCCCGACAGGTATAATTGCCTATGCGGCACAAACTTGCAGTTTAATCAAATTCCGATTCCAGTGAAGCAAAAGTAAGCTTATTGAAGATTTGCCGTAAACGGCATCTAGCACTTTGTCAGTATTATTACTTAGATGTTTTCTGAAACTTCACTAGGATCGGTAAGTAGTCCTAGTCCACTTAGCGTAGGTGGCACGTAGAAAGCAGAGCGACAGCTGAAAGTTTGCGTGCTTACATTCAAACAAGTCGCAAGAAGATGGCAATTTTGTAAGAATACTGAAAATTACCGGCTTTCACGATAGCGTAACAGGACGATAACATTCACTAGCCAGGAATGAGATTTACACCGTTGAGTTAAATTGAAAGTATGAGATTTTCTTGGAGGCTATAAAGTATTTACGCGTTTCTCTTTAAATTATTATTATCATCGATACTTCTCTTCTTCATTAATAGTTCTCAAAACGACTAACTACTGTTTTATTGTAAATTTGATATAATATTTGATAACTTATTAACAATTATCCGAAGTAAATATTTCTTCATCATAAAGCAAATTGAAAATGTGTCTTTAATTTACGATTCAATTTAAAATATGCTTTTAATATGTAATAGTATAATTTAAAAAAAAAGATGCTTTTATTTTAAAATTTATAAATGATTTTCGATAGTTTTATTTAAATATGATTAAAGTTATACAATGCCGTTTGTGTGCTGTCAAGTTCACGAGAAAAAGTTTACTTGGATCGTTTAAGCAAAAGATTAATCGCCGCGAGGTTCGTATTGTCGGTATTAAATCCTTATCGAAGAAGAATCGTTGCTCGACCGTATAAGCGATTCCGCCCACGCAAGTGGTGTGGTCGGGAAAAACTTTCAATGTAACTCGTTTGAATGAGTAAGGCACAATATGCTATAAGGTATAAAAATGAGATATGCAATAAAATATGGCATGCCTTAAATTTGTCAGATTTCATTTTATCTTGGAATCTTTTGATAATTTAGAATAGATCTTTCTTAATTTTTTGAAAAGATATGTAATAATTTTACAAAATAATAAATTTTATTACACGCAATTGAATATTTAAAGTTCTTGTGAATTATATTAGGTATTGCGGAAAGTTCGTATCGTTTTTTCCCTTATAAACTTCTCTTGAAAAAACGACACGAACTTTCCGCGATACCTAATATTTTAAGAGCATAAATATACCATCATGAAAGGTAACTAGACAATATGTCATTATAATGTTATTGATAATTTTTTTAAAACTGTTGTCCGAATATTAAAAATTGTGATTCCACGTACATATTATGACAGCAGTAATTTCACAATTAATTATCCAAATATTTATAATTATTAATTGTTAATGTCAAAATGTGTGCGTAAAACAATTTTTAATCCAAGCAATAGTTCGAAGGGAAAATCATTAATATAATGGCCCACTATTTGGCTAATTAGTTTTGTGACTGTGTACAACAAAACTTTATTCTTATTAAAATTTCTTGCTAATATTTTATTTCGAAAATTATTTATAAAGTATTGTTTAATCATGAAAACAAGACTTTAATTAAATATAAATCAGCTCAAAACTTTAAAAAATATTACTCATGTTTTATTATAAGATATGCTGTATTTTATTGTGATCGGACCCTTATAGCATCTTGGAGAGTTACAATCAGTCTTCTTCCTCTGGGCGCGACGTAACAAAGGAAACTAACAACCTTTCTTTTGCGGCGACCATGGCCGTGGACGCGTTGCAGAAACTCGTAGGAAGAAGGAAGTATGAACCATATTCGTAAAAGCATATGTGACGACATACATATACGTAGATAAGCACGATGAAGTCGTTTCACATGATCTTTAATGAGGTTCAATAAGGACCCTGGAATTTTCAGCTCTCCCTTGGCTTTCTGTGATGTAACATCTTTCGGCTGAATACTGAAATCGTTCGAACTTTTAATAAAGTTTAAATTGTTTGATTGCTTCAATTGAAACGGTTTTTTTCACATTTAGATGTTTTAATTCACGTAAATAAAGAAAAATTATATTAATTTTGGTTAACTTTATAATATGTAAATACAAATGGATATTTTTTCGTTATGCTTTATTTTACATAAATGCTCACAGCTGTTCAATTAAAATTTATATCTAATTAAATTTTTTCGCGAGACTTTCCTAAAAATTTTTTATGATTTATAATTTAAGTAGTTCCTGTTCTAAATATGTTCTTGCGCCGTTTGATGCGCTGTTGGTGTGTTCGTTCATCAATAAACCGCAGATGTCAGATCGCGAATTACTTGAAACTCGTTAAACGCACATTAAATATTCTCAGAACTTCCTGCTCAGAACATGTCTACTTCATATAAACATAATAATAAATGAACAGATTTGTCAATTCGTCGAATAATATCGAGCTTCTCAAAATGTATTTTTAAAATGTATTTTTAATTCAAGAGTCATCTACAGATTTTTAGTGAATCATGACAAAATTATGCAACATAATTTACAAAGATCGTTTTTCGCGGTAAATAAATTGAATCTGTTTGTATCTTAATGCGAAGTTAACTGCATAGTCCGGTAAAATTGCTATTCATTAGTCAATATGCAATTTTGCATGAAATGATCATGGGTTTGCATTAGCATATAATGGATATCTATACGTCGTGAATTGTTTACTGGGGTAAACAGTATTCAGCCTATCGAAACATTTTAGAGAACTATAGATTAAAGATACATCGTTGTAATTACACAGTGTGCTATTAAATACTCTCACGTTCGATCGCTTCGATTCATTGCACATGCCATAATGATCGTCTATGTGATCTCTACAATCAAGATCATGACACATCGTAACTTCATTGGCTTTTTTGCTTGCTCTCATTCCATCGAGATACGTAAAGAACAGTATTTAAAATTTTATACCTTATAAATGTCAATTACACTTCATATAATTAAAGTAAATTTATGCCAGTCTGAAAAAGAATATTGATTATGATATTAGATTATGCCGTCTTAAAATAATATTATGTAATTTTAATTTTATAATTTGCTTTAAGAATTATTAAAAAAACAACCTATACAGCACAGAATTTGCAGCAATATCGCTGCAAAATCTCTGCAATATTGCTGCAACATGCAATATTGCTGTAATATTGCAGCAGCGTTGCTGCAACTTTTGTACAATTTTGTGCTGTAGGGGAATGGCGTTTTTTAAACGAGCTTTAACGATAAGATAAAAATTCTGAATTACTACGATTTAAGATAATATTGACTTTGGATTACGATTTATTGTACTTCTGTCATTAAATATTTGGATCATTTACGCAATTCTTTTGACACATTTTGATCCTACTATATTTTACATGTGTGTGTATATATATATAATATTTGTATAATAATTAACAAACATAAATTACTATTGCATTCTTTAATTTCATTATTTTTTAAATATCATCACTGTAAATTCTTTTCAAAACCAATTTTTAAATAATACTTTTTGAATAATTTATGTTTCTTTCTTATTAAATTAATAAAGTTATAATAACATTTTTTCTTATTTGTATTCAAAGTTCTTGTATTTAAAGTTCTTATTTCACTAACAATTCTCCTTAGACACCATTGTGTACTTATTTGATAATATTAATCCACGTAGTTACAAATGTATGTATGTATGTAACTATAGTTCATATATTAAAATTTCATTTCTATAAAACTAATTATTTATCGATAACTATTAACAGAATTAACAATTTTAATGATTTTTATAATGTCTACAGAAGATTAATAAATAGCTAATTATAAGTTGTAAGGTATTCTTAAAGCATATCCAATTCGAACAATATTTGATCTACATTCGCTCATATAAAATCGCTTCTAGTGCAAAAAACTCGATAAATTCGATCTGCTTATTTAAAGCGTTAAGTATTCATACGTCACTGTGTGCTGTCTGGAACAAAAAGGAACGCTTTGTATTTCTTCGTACACCATATAATCGGTCTACTTTCAGGTCGAGGACAGATTCAGTAAGATCGAAGTCTCCGTTGACGGCATCGCCAGCATCACCGGGTCCTTTGTCGAATTCCTTGCACGGTAGTTTCCATGGTAGTCTAGGAAGCGATGGCATGTCTTGTAGCAGCGCTAGGTCCTCTTCGGCATCTCCCGATTCTGCGAGATATTCGTCCTCACAGGTATCGACATTTATCGTAACTGCCTATTGATATTTCACTAAAAATATAAATTTGAAAATATAAAATTAAAAGAATTCAAGATAAACGCTTGGAATACAGAACTCTAAAATCTAATAATTTCAAGAAATAAAGAAGCTAAAGTTCCATGATTTTGAAATTCTGAAGTCGTAATAATTCTTTTTTTCTTATTTAAAATTTTTATTACCTAAATTTCCAAGGTTGTTAATCAAACTTTTGCAAGAAAGTCTAAACGGTAAAGCAATGGAAATTTTTTTAGCTGTATATCTTTACATAAATGCGCAATGCAAACGTTTATATTGCGCTTATAAATGAAGAAAACAAATAGTATTATGTAAATTGCTGATCATACTGACAATATTACAATGTAACGTAATAAGCACTTAGTTCGTGCTACTTGTACTACGTGATAAATTATATCTAAATGTGTTTATAAAAGTGTTATACTTTGTAAGGCTACATTTGCATCATAAGTTTCTTGTGAAAATAAACCGCGTTTAATTAAGAAGCTGTTTATGTAACAAATAATTGTCTATGTTTAGCTATGGGTATTTTTCGGTACAATTATGAACTAGCAATGCTGGATGATTCTAAAAAAGAATTGACATATTTACATGTTTTAAATAAAGAAATATATTTAAATAGAAACAAAAATGTTAATTGATTCTAACTTGATGACTATTCTTCGCTAACTAATTTTTCATCATTCAATCTACCGCAATTTCTTCATGTTAGGAGTCTTTTGGTTTCAACCTACTTGGTAAATTAGCCGGTTGGAAAGCGTAACTCTTTGACGACTATCTTTGCTGCACGTGACATTGCGTGCAGTGTGAAAGGAGCCTAAACATCATAAGATTTGCTTCGCGGAAAGGTGCATGCCACTCGCGATGACTCAGGATCGCTCCTTTTTCGAGAGTCACTGGTTTGCACCTTTTGGATGATTGGTGGATCATTGAGATGATCGTTCGGCTAATGCGATGACTAATCTGTCAGAAGTTTAAATCGCACTTCGTGCGCTCGCGGAATCGATTTTTCCGCTCCATTTTCCGCGCGCGTGGCGTCGCGTTCTCATTCGCCGGACTTGTTCTTCATACGCGCGTGATGTTTTTGCACTCATGCTAATGGCCTTGCTTACAAAACGGTTAAGCGATTTGTAGCGCGAACTCATGTATATTCATCAAACAGCGAACTCAATAACCGCTAAGTTTTTAGCCGACTAACTGGCACTGATAACTGGTAATTGAAACAACTTACTTGAATTTTATTTAATCTAGCCGAATCTAGCGGTATCAAAATTTTTGTTCTTTTCTTTCACAAATTCCCTATTTATGAATATTTAATTAACTCTTTTTAAGCAGTATTTTGAAGATTATTATTGGAAACATTATTTAATAATCCGCAATGTTACTTTTTTGACTTTCAATTTAAGTCACCGCCTACATTTTGCAAATTATAAAGGTCAATCTGTTCTTTTCAGTTGACCTTCTTGCATCTTTTTTCTTTTTCTCTCTTACATGAAAAGAAAAAGAGAAAAATGAACTATGCAAGAAGTTGAGCTAAAAAGAACAGACCTTTAAAAGCAATTAAACAGATGATTGTCGGAAAGCTCTGAACCTATCGTCAGTTCGAGTCTCACGATAATTATCGCTGTTTCGTTTTAGATTACAATCTCTAATTCAGTCATTGAAATAACATTCTAAAAAGTGTGTTATTTCTTCATTATTTATATTTTAGTAATTTATTACATTCGATAATTTTCTCAGCAAGTAAGAGAAATTTAACGAGCGTTCACGTGCGCACGCAAACGGAAGCACGGGTAGAAGCTTATCTATGGATATTCTAATAGTGTAGCAGATGATCGTATTCCTACAGGACGATGGGAAATCATTTCTGCCAGTTAGTTTTTTCCTATAGATGATTCTGCGTTTAAGTTATTAAGGACACTGTCCGGCTTTTACCATTTACATGATTATATTGCTTACTATATATCGTTGGCATTGTTCTCAATTCATAATTAAATAACGATAGCATTTGTATTATTTTCTGATTTTTTAAAAACCTTTAAAATCTTGTGAAAGATACGTAATAATGCCATTGACATATATCAGTAAAATTTTATAATTTTAAAATCAATAAATATGACATTTACAAAATGTGTAGATTTTAAGTCAGTGATATAAACAAATTTTTTTAAATCTAAAACTTCAATGTGATATTTGAAAAACACATTAAATGTTTTATTATAATGAAATGTAATGAAATGCTTAATTAGAATCTTTGTGAATATACTCATAGATTTTACTAACAGATTATGGATTTACTGTTTAATCTCAATCCGTCATACGATGTTGTCTCTATATGTTATAGATAACAAAGATTGACACACGTAAACCGTCTGTACGCAGATCGGGACCTCCGAAGGAATTTATTAACGTCTGTCTCGACACGCATAATTTCTACCGATCGCGACATGGAGTACCGCCGTTACGACTCAGCAAGCAGGTTACTGTCGATCTTTCTTTTGCAATAAAATTGTAATAAAATCGTAACCCTCACTGAACAACTTCCGAGAATTGAAGAAAGTCGATTTTTTATACTTGTCTCATTCTCCGAAGAATGGAGGGATCTCTGCTAACAACTTTAACTGGAAACGATAAATAACGGTATTTGTTTATTTTCAGCTGTGCAAAACAAGTCAAGACTGGGCTAATATATTGGCCGCTAAAGGTAGATTAGAACACAGGGCGAATATTGACTATGGAGAGAATCTCTATTGTATGTGGAGCTCCAATCCAAAGACAGTCATCGGTGGCGAAGAGCCGGTGAATGAATGGTGAGATGGTTGCATATATTTATTGTTAATGCATAGGTATATTATGTTATGACACAGTTACCACATTATATTACATTAAAATCGTGTTTTATTTCATCATTATGTTAATTATGAAATCATAATTAACATAATGATGAAATAAAAATTATTATTGTTCTTTTTTTTAATCAATATATCTATATATATCTGGATCAACCTTAAATGCAAATTAAAAGAAGATAGAGATCTGTTGACTTTAAAATTGTTATTTTAAACATTTAATTATATTTTCCTATCAAATCGTCTAATGTAGATAATTATTTGTAATTAAAAATAATAATTAAAAATTTTTACGAATATGTTTAACACAAATCTGTATAAAAAAATCGGTAGCAAAAATCTGTATCACAGATAATTTTTTTTTTATTTAATAAGGTAATTATATTCATATATAAATATAACGTATTAAAACTTTTATCTATTGTAGGTATGCTGAAGAAGCTCAACATCAATATGGAAAGGAGCCTACAACGTTGAAGACTGGTCACTTCACACAAGTGATCTGGAGGGACAGTACTGAGTTAGGGGTGGGAATGGCTAGAAATCGAAATGGCGAAGTCTATGTTGTGTGTAATTACAATCCCGCTGGAAATTTCTTAGGCAGTTTCACGGAGAATGTTCTTCCACCCGTGGATGCAAGTCCTACGAAACGGATTAATTTTACTGATCTAAAACAACATTATATAGACGAGCAAACGTGGCAGCAGGAGGCCTTACTGGTTCATAATGAGTATCGAAGAAAGCATCGCGTACCGGATTTAAGATTAAGTCCGGAATTAACAGCAGCTGCCAAGGTATTTCAGAATATACAATATTATCATTAGAACGTATTTATATGTATAGATTAATTATTAAATATATTTTTAATTGACTAGGAATTGTGTAAAAAACGTTATAAAAGTCAGCTGCATTATACACATATATATATATATATATATTTATTCATACTTAGGCCTGGGCAAATACGTTGCTAAACACAAATAAACTCGTACCTCAATCGTCGTCTCCGTATGGCGAAAATATTTATTCAATGCAGTGTTCTGATCCTAAACTGATCGTTTCCGCACGTGAAGTCATTTCAAAGTGGTATTCCGAGAGGAAAGAACATAAATTTAGTATCGAGCCAAAAGTTCTTAACACATGTATGTATCGCAATATTTCCATTCGTGAGAAATTAATTAATTTAATTTCATACTTATTTTGCTATAATAAAATTTATATTTTTTTAAATTACGTATCTAATTTATAATTTTTTTTAATAACGTATTTATTAAAAATTATTAGAAAATAATTATTAAAAATTTTTTTAAATGTGACAAATTATAAATAAAATGAGCTCGCAATATTTTTATTTCTTATTTGCAGGCCATTTTACGCAAATTGTCTGGAAAAACACAACCGAAATGGGTATTGCAATGGCCAAACGAGATGGTTCATGTGTTGTAGTGGCATGTTACCATCCGAGAGGTAACATAGTAGGACAGTTTACTGAAAATGTACTGAAGCCTATAAAAAGTGTCTATTAGCTGGACTCATTTCTGTCGATAATGTATTTAAATCTTGTATTTATAATGTATTAAGCAGATGAACGATGTTACGCATAATATATATGTAATGTATATAGGACACTTGTGCATAAACACGTATAATAAACATTCCACATACACATATTTATAATTTCCTAGCTTTATTGTTTTCAGTATCCTCTGTCTTTAGCGAGTAATAATAAACAATTATTTTTTTAACTAAAATATCGGTCAACTTATCAAAAATTAGAATTATTATCTTGAAAGCCTGATATAAATATGAATTGTTATGATACAATTTTTAATTTTTCTAATCTAATTTTATAAAAGAACGAAAGGGAAGGAATATTTTGTAAGAATGAAAGCGCAGAGAAGAAAAAATCAAATAATTTTACTATAATTCATTATAATGTTACTTTTACTTATAATTTCAAAAATAAGAATTATTATAAAATAAGAATATTTAAATATTAAAAATTCAGTTATTTTATTATTAATTAACAAAATTTTTTTAAAGTTACAAGAAATATTATTTCTTTTAGAATGCGTTTTCTCATGTTCTTATTTCAAAAAAATTTTTTAATACGTATTTAAATAAATTTCTGCACAATAGATATTAGCATTTTTAGCATACCTTTACATATATGTATAATTAATATATAACAATAATCCGGATAGTAAGATAGAAAGATAGAATAAGAAATTTTCTTAATAACAAATATTATTAACAGATATTGTAATAGATATTATGAAGAAACGTTCTTTTTATTGCTTTATAATAATTTATTTATAATAAATTTACATGCATATCGCACGCATCGCGTTACAACGTCGCATATATAATATATACATATGTATATATGTATATATATCTTTTTTTTATCTATATAGATACATTCTCTCTCTTTCTCTCTCTCTCTCTATTTTCTATTTTTATTATTTTACATTACGTACAGCCGTTTACATTTGTATTTGTGGTCGAGGAATGCTTAATTACGTAAATCTTATCATAAAAACCAGCTGGACACTTCTGTAAGACTCATGCCATTCGAAGAGAGCTCATTCGAGGTGCACCAAGCTCTTGCTTAAACTTTCGAAGGAACTTGTGTGATATCTGGTGCATCCGCAAGAAAAGACATGCGCCTCTCTTCAAATTGGAAAACAAATTCACGCTTTCAAATATGGCTACTTCTAATCAGGAAAGCGGCATATAGCAAAGTAATTGTAATCAAAATACCTGAGGGAGTGAATATTATTTAAAACTGTAAAGTTAATCACTTCTTGGAAATAAAATACATATAAATTCCTTTTTGTAAATAATATAATTAATTTTAAGCATATTTTTAGAGATGAAGAAACACGCTACATAAAATATTTGATATAAATATTAATAAGGAAGTATTCATTAAAATTAAACGTACGTTATTACAATCATGCGAAAATCGTGGGAGAAAAGAATAATGGTCCGCATTTTTATATATTTTTATATATTTACTATTAAACTATTAAACTATCTGACTGCTGAATAACTATTTAATTCTTATTTCATATTGATTAAAGAAAATATGAATATTAAGTAAATAGAATTCAGATAATCGATCTAAATTTTGCACTAAATTTAGCAGAAAATTTGAATCAAATCTTGTAGCTGTGAGAGATATATTAAAATTATCAAAAGAATCAATACTAAATATCATAAATATTTTGTGAAAAATTAATTGTATATGAAACCTTTAAAAAACGTATATAGTCGCTTAATGTGTATTCTCGCCTAATAAAGGCACGAGTACTGTACAAGCGATTTTATAAATATTAAGAAAAAAACTTGTACTCTTCGAATTACGAATATGAGAAATAATTTCTGTATCATTTCAATACAGCTTTAAATTTCAAACATAAGTAAAGTTATTAAAATATCGAGTTCTAACAATGAAAAATTATTGATGGATATGGACGTTGATACACATTGAACGACGAGTACTGTACAAGCGATTTTATAAATATTAAGAAAAAAACTTGTACTCTTCGAATTACGAATGTGAGAAATAATTTCTGTATCATTTCAATACAGCTTTAAATTTCAAACATAAGTAAAGTTATTAAAATATCGAGTTCTAACAATGAAAAACTATTGATGGATATGGATATTGATACACATTGAACGAGAAAAGCTGAAATGAGAAAAACATGAACATTAATAATTCTTTTGTTTTATCATTAATAACTTTGATGAAAAAAAAAATGAACAATTTGTTCCATTAATAAAAAATAGTCAAGTTATTACAGATTAATTAATACCAATGCTACCCCAACAAATTATATTTTTTAAATATAAGGTATTTTCTTTATTTTCGCAGATTTTACATTTTTTAATATAAATTGAGGTGAAATAAATATATTTCAAATAAGTCAAATCAAATTCAATGTTCTACTTTTTGAGAAGTCACACACGTTGCACACACGATAAATCGTTGTATTTATCCTACATTACATAAGAATTGCATGGGCAGGTTCAATTCTTGTATATTGTAAGAAGAGTTTCATACAGAGTTTCGCGGAATCCATCGCGCCCTCATTCGAAACGTAATTCAAACAATCTTCCTCGAGAGCGACAAGCGCCTTGCGACAGATTGCTGTAACTTTGCCGCATTAAAATTTGTAATGTGATACACTATAGATTATTAAATTCAGCTATGAAGAGTCAGGTCACATTATATTAGATTGATCCTATAATTAATTATAAGTTATATATACTCTCCGAATAATCGTTTTACTCGCTCTCGCAATATCGTGTGGATACATGGATACTTTCGATGCATCCCTAGGATTAAATTTATTTCTGTCATTTTACAATGATAATCTTCCCATCGAGATATTTGTTCACATAAACAAAAAAATTTAGATTCCATGATATATTGTGTCATCTGAAAGTAATCGCAATTCAGTGGAATTTTTCCTTAAAGGAAAGGAAAGAAAGTTTCAGCGAAAAGTCTCGAGAACTTGAGCCATAAATTTTTAATTGGAAATAGAAGGTGGTAAATCACGTAATTTTTGTTGTTCTCTTTACTAATACTATTTTAGATAAGAACATTATCAAAACGATAATTCTACTATAGTCGGGCGGTCTTCTCTCTGTCATACGTTCCTCGATAAAATTATACAAAACTGTTAAGTTTCTCTAAATCGATTATTGTTTAAGACAAGATCGCGATATATTATTGTGTTTTTTATAGTCGGAATTCAAAAATCTCTTCTACTTGCTACATAAAAAATTCTTTATTATTCTTCTCTGAAAAATTATTTGTTCACAAGGTATCTCGTATAAAAATCTACGAGCTATCAATGATAAAGGATTCAGAGCTAATCAAACAGAAAAAAATAAAAAGTTAATAAAGGGAAGAGTGGTATAGAGAAAAAACTATTTAATTAAAAATTTAAACGCGTGGACGACCAAATGTTGGAAATGGTCGATTTTGCTTCGATCAAATAATAGAACGACGAAAATGTGATAATTCAATGTACGTGAGACGATAATTTTGATATTTTCAATTGTGGGTGTAAAGCGAGCCTGAGGGAAAAGAGAGACATGGTGTGTTTCTTATCTTACATTTTGATTTTGTAAAGCGCATTCAAAACCTGCTTCACACCTTGTCTCAGTTTCGCCCAAAAGAATTATCGTATTTACTTTGGCTGGTCTGTTCCACAAATCGACTTTTCAGTTTTCTATTTTGTGATTTGCGCTCTTAAAAATGTCTAACTTTTAATTTTTGTTATAATCAAATTAAATTTAAATTCCAATTATTTTGTAACATATCGAGTAGATGATATATCTTGTTTTATCTGCGTAGATAAAGCATTTATTTCAAGGATAATAATAAAAAATTATTTTAATTTTTTTCATATAATTACGGATTAAATTGCAAAAATTAAATAATAATGAATTAAATTTTTTATTTTAATATTAGTAATTAAATCAATATACATTGTGTAATATGGTTCAAATAATATAAATTAATAATAAATGTATTGAGAAAGGCTACGAAGGGATAACAAAAACAGTATGTAAATAATTGATATAATATAATTAATATAAGAACTAAACAAAATTGTAAAAATAAAATACAAACGGCGTTTCGAGCCTGATCGGGTCATTCTCAATGTTAAACAAAAGTGATAGGTATAGACATATTTAAATTATAAACGATTTAAAGCTAATAAAATTGAAAAAAAAAATAATAAGTACAGACTTCTAACGAATGTATAATGGTCACTTAACTTTATTATTAATTAAATCAATACCTTTTATTGTTTATAATATTATTTTATGTAATTATTATTTTCATTGCAAATGTCAAATTATTTTATACATATATTAGAATGTTTATTTAAATAAAAAAATAATAAAATAAATAATAATTTGAGGTATATCCAAGGAGGAGATATTTATCCAAAAGTTGTTTTGTGAAATAGATTTCTGACCGCGCATTTATCAGCATTAAATTGACTAAGCTTAATGAAAGTAATATCGAAGTAGGTACTCGGTAATATAACTCGATTGGTCGAAGAAAAGTGTAAATTGGTCAACGAACAATTACATTTGGCTGTGAGCGTCACGATTGTGACGTCACATCAAAGATTAGATTCTATTGTGGCCTGTTGCACCAATTTGGCTAGCTGTGATGCACTCATATCTTCCTCAGGCAACACTTTATCATTAATTTTTTAAGTATCCTTTTAAAAATCTTTTACATACTTAAAAAATTTTTATAATTTTATAATTATTCTTTTCTATCGAAGTTACTACTCTGAAGATATAACAATCTAGAGAAAAACCAGAAATACGTCATCCACAGTTAGATAATTCAATCGATGCAACTTGTCTTGAGTCGCAAATAACGACTCACTCGAATTTGACTAAATAATTGAACGAATTGTTGAATTATCAAGCGAAAATAATTGTACTCACTCACTAACGATAACTAACTCTTGGGATAATACCCACGAAACGCGGATCGGGACTGAAACTAATAGGAGAGTAAATTAAGTAGAAGAAGAAGGTAATAGTAGTAATAGTTTTCGTGCGATTCACTTGCGATTGATTTTCGTTTATCACGTAATTTTCGTGATACGATTCTTGTCTATATTGGTTTAAAATATCAACCGTAAATCTCGGTGTCGTCATGAAGGTCGACAATCGTCCTGCGATTTGACATTAAAATTCATTGACGATTTATTAGTCACGCGAAAAGTCATGATAATATATGCGCATGTTCTAAGCACTTAAATCTTTCTAAAATACTCTTTTTCTTATTTATGTAGAATATAATGATGACTTCCGCGTGAGCGGCACTCTCGCATGATATGATTAAAATGTGGTCATACAGCGTATCTCTATGATATATATATATATATATATAATAGACTCTTTCTCGCCGTAAATTTTCTCTCTATTATAAAATTATTCACGCTCGATCGCTGAGCGCAACGCTAGGTAAGAATCGAGAAACACATTATAGAAGATTCCTGTTGTATACTCTCGATAATCTCGAGAATGTATGAAGTAGATGACGGACAAGCATTTATTATAAATTATGATTTAATTTTAAAATTATTAATTGTAATTGTGACAATTATAAGTTAAAAAATCAACCTTTTAATAAAAAACCTATAATTTTTATCTCTATCTCGATTAAAAGAAAATTGTCGAAAATAAATAAGATTTACAACAATTTTTGTTACATTTCATATTTAAACAAAATGTTTTTTAAATCCCCCACAATTCAGAAAATGATGTCAATTCGTAGTAATTTGCATTGTAATTGTACGTTCAGATTGCAAATAATTAAAAATATATGCTTGTTCACCGTCATACAAAGCGTTTTTTAAGTGCCATTTCGCGCACTAATTTTATATGAGTTCATCATAACCCGATGAATGAAGTCGTAGACACGAATGTCAATTCGCTAAAGGCGACCTAGAGAGCAAAACGTTTTAAGAACGTAGTTGTGTTATTAAGTCTATAGCACATACAAAAACGTTAGACAGTAAGACGTAAGCTGTAAGCAAATTGACCAATCACAGTACAGACCATAAGACTAGTAGCGAATCCAATGTTACGATTTCCTTACTGCTTACGTCTTACTGCCTTACGCTTTTGTACACTCATACACGAAAGTATTCGAACTTACATTTTTAACATTCAACGACTGAAATATGTATATTAAATTGAAGCATTTAAAACAATATGGTATATATAACAAGGGATAGGTATTAAGATTACATAAGTGATATTACAAAATAATTTAACAATGTATACAGTTTTCACAATATATTTATTGTAAACACGCACCATAAGTGGCTCACAAAAATATTCGAACGGTACATTTAATAGTTATTTAAATTGAATAATTCACAGTTTTAATAAGAAGTTGATCCGCCTTTTGCTTTTATTACAGCCTTAAGACGATTTTCCATTGAGTGGACTAACTTCGAAGTAACATTTGCGTCTATTGATTGCCATATTTCAATGATATTTTGTTTCAACGTTTCTTTCGAAGTAATAGCTGTATTTCTTAATTTTCTTTCCACCTCATCCCATAAATGCTCGATGGGATTTAAGTCGGGACTTTGTGGTGGATGTGGCAATATGTGTGGAACATTATACAGTACCCATTCTTTGACAATTTTCGCTGAATGCTTCGGATCATTGTCTGATTGAAAGTAATAGTTATTGGGCAGATTCAATTTTGATGCACTGTCTTTTAAATTATCTTGTAAAAGTTTTAAATACTTCATTTTATCTAAAATCCCATCAATAAACACAAGATTTCCCACTCCAATAGCTGCCATGCAGCCCCACACCTTTACGGAGCCACCATTATGTTTTACTGTTGATCGTAAATTTCTCGGTTCTAATTCTGTGTTTTGTTTTCTCCGAACACTTTTACGTCCATCGTTACCAAAAATATTATATTTACTTTCGTCAGAAAATAATACTGTATCCCAAAACGAATTGTCTTTATTAATAAATTCTTTAGCAAATTTTAAGCGTAGAATTTTATTTTTCTTGCTAATAAAGGGTTTTCTCCTTGGAACTCGTGCATGTAAACCATTACTTCGTAACAATCGTCGACATAATTCTGGATGTACTTCTTTTTGGAACTGTGTAGCAACCATTGATGCCAATTGTGGTGCAGAAGTGAAAGGATCTTGTTTAATTTTCCGTATAATTATCTTTTCTTCTTTCACAGTCAGCTTTTTTGGTCGTCCAGAACGGGGCTCATTTGCAATGTTACCTTGCGTATTAAATTTTTTCACAATATAATGAATAGTGGACTTGCTTCTGTTGACAAGTCGTGCGATTTCACTATATGATTTGCCTTCCTTATGCCATTTCACTATTAATTCTCTCACTGATTTGCTTGTTTCTAATTTTTTCTGATTCATTTTGTAGTATTATTAATAATGAAAATTTTGAGCGGCGAAAACTTTGATTAGTGCTTCCCTTGAACTAGCTTTCAGTGAACTGAGCAATGTTTATATTCTGCGACTTTCGGAAGCTTAGTTATTATGAAGATTCCGCAGAGTTCGAATACTTTTGTGAGCCACTTATGGTGCGTGTTTACAATAAATGTATTGTGAAAACTGTATACATTGTTAAATTATTTTATAATATCACTTATGTAATCTTAAGACCTATCCCTTGCCATACATAGCATATTGTTTTAAATGCTTCAATTTAATATATATATTTCAGTCGTTGAATGTTAAAAATGTAAGCGTTCGAATACTTTCGTGTATGAGTGTATGTGCCATGGGTTTATGTGATAAATAGACTTTAGTACAAATTATAAAAAGAAAATACAATACAACATATGAAGCTCATAATGTAATTTTATATCGTCTTCTAATAATAAAGAGGGCGCATATTGATTTCTGATTGACGCGATTCTTTATCAATAATCGTGGTAGCATTGAGATTTCCGATGAGATCTTTCATAATAGAAAGCATGCTCTTCAGAAAACCAATGAATTTAACGTATCACAGTTATGATATACTTGCGTTTAGATCCACAAATTGTCATAAATTGCGTCATTTTTAAGTGAAAAAAATTGTCATATATATTGGAACTAATTCAACAATATTAATACCAAAATCTAAAATTAAGAATTTAATGTCAATCATTATTTTATAAAAATTTATTTTCATAAATTTTAACGATTGATAATTAAAATAATTTGAGTATCAACAACAACAAACTGCATTAATAATTTGTGAGTTATTTACTTGCAATAAAAGTTATTAAATTTATGTATTTACATTTGAGAACTATAAAGCTTATAATACATAAATTAATATTAAGAGAGTTAGAACTGAATTAAATTTGTCGAAATAATTTCATCCCAACTTTACTTTATCTATTGCAAAATATATTTTCTAATACTCGCGATAGTCACTAGTCTGATGTGATCAATTTCATCGAAGCAAACACCTTGCTCTCCAGCCGTCTCATTCATCTGGCTTAGTCAGTCCCACGAAATACGCTGGTTAAAATATCCTTTATCGAGCTGTTACAATCGTTATAAGGACGTCATCATTCTTGATGTCGCCTAGCATTAAACGCTATGTGGGAACGCTACAGCCACTTATTTCGTGCCACGCCGGAGAGCCTGCGTCCCCACATTAGGTTATATCATACTATTGTCCCCTGTATATGTTGCGGATCTTGTGTGGTACCCTGCATCTGCGGCGATTGGCAGGGTGAACCCATTGGATACTGAAGAGAGGATGGTTCGTAGAGACCACCCAAAGAGCCACCGAGGCCCGCGCCGAGACTGGGTCCCAAGGCTGCGTTAAGTTCCGGCATGGAGGGCAGACCTACATCGAGAATACCGGTATTGCTAGCGCCGATGCCAGCCTGCGAACCTTCTTCTGGCGGTGTCACTTCCAGACCAATTGAGCCATTCAAGGCAATCTTGATCGAGTTGTGATTGGAGGGATGTGAAAGCGCACCCAAACCGATATCCTCCAGACTACTCTTCCTCCTGGTCGTCAAACCCTGCCTCAGAGAATTACTGCGTCGCAGCAGAATATCGTCGACCACCCTCAACGAGTTTGAACGACCGCGTAGAGTGCCGGCCACGGTAGGACTATCTGGTAAAGACAGTGAATTTGACTTGGTCGTGCCTAAGGGTGGCGCTCTGGCTAAACCTATGCTGGAACCGCGACGACTACCCAGTCCGCCGGTCTGCAGACCTGCTGCCGCAACTGCTGCGCTCATCTGCGATACTAGCTGCGCTGAACAAAAACTGATGTTGCTCTTGCGGCGAGAGTTGTGTCGTTCGAAGGTCTTCTGAGCGGAGAACGGGCTGGGTCGCACCAAGTAGACAATGTCACCTTCTTCGAGTTTTAGATCGCAGCTTGGGTTGATAATCACATAGGAGAGACTGTTACGCTTCTCCGATACATCGTCATAGTCGGCAACCGGGAGGTTTAGCGATTCCATCCGTGAACGCACCAAGTTTGCAATCTCCGCCCGTTCGATCTGCTGCGCATGATTGTCGCGTGCCTCGTCGCCAAGACTCACCGAATACTGGTGATACATGAAAAAGATAATAAAGTATTAACATAAATCTGCGCACGCACTGGGACAGGTATTCTGATGTGACGATCGATAATATCAATGAGGTGGCCTGAATAACGTACTGATTATTCTACCTTATCTTTCATCATAATTTTATATAATAAAATAGTGATAAAATAGTGCATTATACACTCGAGATTACGTGCTCTTTATAAAGTGCAGGATAAAGTAAAGAATTGCAGTTTTTTGTAGGACGTTGTAATGCAAATAAGAGACTTATTTGTAATATCTTTTAATGCGATCTTGTCGTGATTATTGCTGGTTATAAAAGTAGATTTATAAACTCGAGAAACCGGTTAATATTTACATGTGAATTATCAAACGTATAATAAATTCAAATGGACAAATGTGTGCATATTTATCTTTTTACGATATGCAACAAGTGGCTTAACGCGCGCGGCTTTTATGATATTACAAAAACTGTAACCACTTCACTGTTACAGCCACCTTCTCGATATCGGCTGAACGCCACAATTGATCTTAAATCTATATAACAGATAAGAATATCTTTGACTTCGCGAAGACGATCAAAAATTCCTGACGTGTGTATAATCAATCTTGGGGATACGTTTCACATGCGCTGCTGTGCTGCGGCAGACGAGTCTGGACGTCCATCAGAGAGAGTGTGAATGAAGAAGAAGAAGAAGAAGAGAGAAAGAGAAAGGTATGAAGAGATAGAGCGATAGTAAGATAGAGGCGAGAATGGAGAATAAGATAGAAATAGGTTTATAAAACGATCAGAAAGAAAGAACAGCCACCACGTCAACGTTTTACTCACAGCAGATGCACCCTTGTCACGGGTACCGCAATTTGCAAGGCACGAGGCTGCCGCCGAATGACGCACCTTGTACGTCACACCGACGCCGGCGTCGCTTTCCGCGTCTGAGTCGCCCTGTTAAAACGACAAGCAATTCTACCCTTACTAATGATAGCGCATCTACAATGCTGCGATTTCGCATAGCGTCGCGGCCGTGTTTCGCGTCCGAGTACAGCACGTTGCTGTGGTTCGATTAGATCGATCGCCCGCTCGATTTCTTCCATCGAAGTGCTTCTCGCTGAGGACATTAACGCTCGAAAACACAAGCGCTTTGTATTGTATGTATTTGTCAGACGAATTGTGTTTGAACGGCCTATTGTCTTTGCTTTCGTAGAAGAATTTTATCTATCAAAGCATACACTAAAGTTCATATACAAAATATCGTATATCAAAATATAACTATTAATTAAAATTCTATTATTTTCTTACTGTATTTTATATGTCAGAGTTTAAACGAAAGCTGTATTGCAATCGAGCATACTAAATCTAATACGATGCATGTCAAAGACGCAAAGACCAATGAATTGGGGAGATAACGTGCTATGAAAGTTCGACAAGATGCAACGATTCCGGTTCGTTATTTATGCGCGGTAGGAATAGGCCGAGAGAGAAATGCCACGAGAAGAAATGGGGCAGGAAACGAAATCAAAAGAAGGAGCGAGAGCACAACCATGCGCTACTCACAGCCGCCATTCAAAGAATTTTCCTGTTTTTAGAAAATACAAATAACAAATTCTACTTCGACTATATTTCTTTTTAGATGAGAAAAATCTAAAGTTACACTTACGTGCGAGGAGTCAGATACAGTAGTATCTTGCGTCCTGTATATTCCAATTGGAATTTCGCAGGTGGTCGAACAAAGTTTTTGATATAATCTACCATATGTTCTTATCCACATGTCATCCTTTGTTATACGCATCTGCAATCATTTCCATTATATTCGCCAATAATATAAATAATCAAATATAATAGAATATTCTTTATAACTCTTTGCAAACATATTCATAATTCCTTATAATTCCTATATATCACTTCTTTACTTCAAAAGTAACACAACTTAAAAAATGATTCTCGGGTTATTACTATAAATTGAACAAACATTATCCTATCAATCATCAAAAGTGAACTAATTGATTCATTAAAAAAATTATCAAAATTGTCACAATACCAAAAGGGTGATTTAAAAAAACTCATTAAAATTGTCATAATTTAAAAGGGTTCGTTTTTTGAGGATTGTCGAACGAAAATAAATTGTGCCCTACCAGGCTGTATAACTTTGTCTCGAGACATTTTTCCATGAAAATTAAAATGAGACATATCCTGTATATCAAAGAAATTAACTAATATGAAGAAATTAAATATATATTCGTCATATTTGCAGATTTCTTATTAATATAATATATTTTAAATAATTACTTACCGATGTAAGAAACCCAGATCCTGGCGCTTGATCTACTCCCAATAATAGCCTTACGAACGTTATTACGTAATCTTTGACGAATGCTTGATAAAGCAAAGTATCTAACATCGAGGCGCTGAAGACACTGCCGGCGGCGAACGGTAGTCGAAACATATACGATATGTGAGATCCTCTTTCCTTTTCTCTCTGTAAACATTACCATTCATCAATTTTATTTACATATTTATAGATAATATCCCGGTTTTGCTGCATACAATCGCTCCTAAAATGTTATTATCGCCCGTGTTATAAATTCTCACACATCTCCCGGGTCTCCCCGTATACAAATATTTCTCTCTTCTCATTTATGGTAAATACGTCCCCGAGTATCAACATTTTCAGTAAGGCAAACAATATCAATTTTTAAGTGCTCCAATGAATATTTTTAGTAAACGAACACAAGCATTTGTAAATAATCCTAAACTACATATTAATTTCATAAATAAATAAAATGTTAAAAATACGTTATTGCTATAAAATAAGGTAATTTAAAGAAATTAATCAACATTAATCTAGCAATCTATAACATATCATCAGAGTATATCAAATAAAAAAATCTGTTATTCAATGTGATATATGATATCATTCAAGGATTACACAAAATATATTCGATTTATATAATATTGGATAGAATTATCTTTTTTATTTTCTGTTTTAATAATTTCAGTTAAATCCGATTCAAATATTGAAATTTGTGACGGACATTAATATCTGTATACATTATAATAAAAACTAATATTTTAAATATTGTACATTTTTGAATATCCGATACATCGCATCACACCATGCAAAGTAGCATGAAAATGATGTAACATAAATAATCTACAACTTTTTTCCTCTCCATACAAACGAATGGAAATTAAAAGATTAAAGATCGAAGACGTATCGTGTAATAGTGTGGCATATTAAACAAAAAAACGAAAGGGAATTCGTAAATTTAATGTGGAATTTTTGTCTTGTAAGACTAAGGTTAACTGAATGTGTCATGCTTTAAATATAATGCAGAAAAATAAAATAATATATGTATATATTTGTACAAAAAACGAAAAAAAAGTTTATGATATTTTTTCAAGGATTCTAATCTATTTAGCATCAATTTCAAGACATGTGTTACCATGTTATAACATTTAATTTAATATTAACATGTACTAAAGAATAGCTATCGATATATTGAGTGCAATGGGGCACTAACATGGGGCAATACAAAAGATGATCAGTCAATTGTGACTCATGCATCGATACCTATAAATTCATAAGCGACTACTTTTAAAATGTTCATAAAGTTATCAATGTTTTCTATGTTTTCATCGCTCTCGTAAAATATTTCGTAAAATAATTATTATTAAAAAACTTCTTTATCGATAAAATTTATTATTGGGTATACTTCCAATTAATATATGCACGTACTTAAAAATGATTATTTATAATCGACTTATAATTCAGATCGTACACTGAACCAAAACTGTATGTAATACAATAAAATATTCATTGAATTAATGAAAATTGGTCCAATGAATTCTTATAATGATTTATGTTATAAAACTATTACTAGAATTCATTGCAAGAATGAATATATAGTTATATAAACAAATTCATTATTTATATATATAATAATATATGATAATATATGATAATATATGATAATATATTATCATTAATTATTGTATCAATGAATTAACTACATTAAGTCGGGCATTAAGTCGGACATTGATTAACGATCATTCATTGGACCAAAAATGATCAAAATTTTTTTCAGTGTATGTATAATCAATTCATAATTAAAATCATAATTAATATAAAGATTAAACACTTCTTCCAGTAATCTACATATTGAAAGAATTTATTTTGTACGATTCATATAATGACCAAATAAATTCTAAAGAAACTGGAAAATGATACTAGATGTCAGTTATAACCTAATTATCTTCTACGGTTTATTCTCTTTAGAATTTTATTTAAAAAAAATGTTATCTTGGGTTCTTCCGTATATATCGCGGACCAAAGAATAAAGTAAAGATGCGATGGCATTGGTAAAGTTGACAAGCGGTACGATAAGGGTGGATGCGGAAAGCAGCACTTAGAGCAAAGTGATTTCCGCGCGGAGCGACTTTACTCTCGTAATTTCTTCCCGCTTCCAATGACATGGCTTTACGAGGCTGGTGATCGCAAATCTTGGGAAGCGTCCTTTTAAGTTTGCCGTAACCTCGAACGCTACATCCACCGAAATTAGATTTGTATAAAAGCCATGCCGGAAAACAGTAAAGTAGGACAAAATATAGAAGAAATAACTTTATAAGTTCCAACTACGAAAACATTTGTTGTTACAATTTTACCGATATTTATGAACAGGTTTGCATGGGATTATGCAAAATATTAATTTTGATTGATATAATATATTTTTGGATCAGGTATGTCGTGAATATTAATACGAGAGCGACGATAACATTAGATATGTAGCAGTCAATCGATCAATCAATTCAACAATCAATCAATCAGAGGTTGGAGAATGAGTGATATCGTGTTACCGGGGAGCCCATCGGAGGCTCATCAGAGTTGTCATCGGTAGTAGCACTGAGGAGTACCTTTTCCATTTTGCTGAGATGCAAAGCGTACTTGTCGTGTGCCCGAAACTGCATGAAACGCATATTGCTCGACTGGGACAATTCTGTTATGCTCTTTATGCTTGGGAAGAATCTATCAAAAAAAGAGAGAATAATCTCATGAAAAGTGAGAATGTAATACATAATTTTATTAACAGTCTCCCTCTTTATTTGCCGTTACACTATGAAAATATATCTTAATATTTTCCTACTTAATAATAATTTTTATAATCTCAATTTATGTAATTATATATTGTAAACATTATTTCATCTTTACATCATTATAAGTATAGACATCAAAATAATCTATTTATTTAAAGATATTATATTTAGTATATTTAGAGAGTAAAACGTATTCGTATTAGGTAAAAAAATAATTTATTTTAAATTAATAAGTAGCAATACAATTATTTTTTGCAACTTAAGTTATGAATGATCGAAACTAAAGTTATGAATAACAGTCGAAATATACTTCCTTACGGATAATTTTTGTTGCAAGACATATCGTGTAAGCACTCACTTGAACATAGTTTGTACTGCAACAATCGTGTTGCAATCAGCCAGAGTATCTTCCTCGGCGGAATTGTTGAGTTCCTTGTTTACGACTACAACATTTTCTGCCAAAGTAATACCAGCCCGGAGAAGATCATCTAAACAGTCGATAGAACCGCGCATCCAATAGACCAATGGAAAGTAGGACACTGCATCGAGAAATGCGATTTCCGGTTTTCTTTCCAGCAAAAGGATGATCGGATTTAATGATGTTTTCGACCTGGCAAATGTTCCTGTTTATTAATTGATCGCTCTTCCTTATATCTAATTATATCAGTTGACCAGTGATATAGTATTTCCTTCATTCATATATAATCCCTTTTATTTTTAACAAATATACGATTATTCTTAATTGGCAACACAAAATACTTAACAGTATTTGGTAAAAAACAACATCCTCTGTAATTGTCTTTAAAATCATATGCGACTTTAAAAATATTTTAAATACATATAATTACTTTTTAAAAAATGTTTATAGAAATATATATATGAAATAGATAAATGGACTCCTTTTAATTGTATATAAATTGAAGGATTAGTAAGGGGG